TGGGTTGCCATTTTATTAAGTTTTTTTTTTAACTTTTACAAAAACTTTGAGAATTTCATACATGCATATAAGGTGTTTTGATCTAATCCATGCCCACTCCCTCCCCTCCAACATTCCCCCCTTTGAAAAGGTAACCCTAAAATCTATTAAGGATTAGATACTAGCTCCCAAATACTTTTGACATTTTGACATCTTTGGCCTTTGAAACAGAGTATGTTGCTATCAGGCCCAAGGACATTTTGACTTTTAGCCAAGAAACTGGCTACTTTTCTTTGGGGTCTTTTCACCCTAACTGCCTAGCCAATTTCTACCTATTATTCTTATCATGCCATCCTCTGAAGGGGTTACCCAAATTGCCAATAGGGAATAGGGACACTGACTGCTTTGGCTTCTCCCATTCTGAACAGGGAAACAGGGTGAGGCAATTGGGGTACCCCTTCAGTGGTTCTATCTAAAAGACTCCCAAATTGCATAACTCTTGTCTCTAAGGGGAAAAGAAAGTCCTTGAATCATGAATAGGAGATGTGAAGGAGAAGTAAAGGCAAGAGTAATTAGCATTACAAGTTCTAGACAGGGAACTAGAAAAAAGTCAGAACAGGGCAGTTTTCACACATTCCTATGAGAGTCCATTGGAGTTTCTTGACAAAGGCTTCCAAAACATCCCTCTTTGGGTTCTTCCTCATTTTCTTTTGTCTTCCAAGGCTGGACTTGTTGACTGGGAAGAGGGCTGGCTACTCAGGTGAGGGCCGATCCCCCACTTTTATTCATCTCTTTCTATAAAATTTTTTGATCTCCTGCCTTTAAAGGAGCAGATGTTTGTAAAGGTAAAGCAGTCAAAGGTATAAGATTAAATAGTGTTAGATTCCTGGCAGGCACCTAAAATGGCAGCACAACTCCCAGTATTCTAAAATGGTGGGTTCAAACTTAGCCCTGGGAAAGTCCCTCTGCTTATTAGGAAACCAACCAATCCTGAGCTAAACTGCCCAGCCTACATATTGGAAAGTTACCCAAGCACCTCACTGCCTATAAAAGATGTCTGACTTCCCCTGCTGCTTGCTATTTCTCTGCTCCCTGAGAGGCAGACCAGGCGACTGTTTCCTCCAAATAAACTGCTGTCCCCCATGGAGTTGTCTTGGTCAGTGGTCTTAGCTGTACTCTTCCATACACATAGAAACTAAACATTTAAAGGGATAATTTTTTCTATCTGTGTGCTTGCTCAGATGCTCACAATATCAATTTCCTACATTTGTTTCCAGCAACACAGGACTGGGCCCTAAAGTTACATTAGGGATAAGACTACCATCTTTGTCAAATTTAGAACAACATTGACTAGCCTAATATTTTTCTTTTTTACCTCAGGGCATATTCTTGGGGAAGCTGGGCCAAAAAAGAGGCATTAGCCTTTCACTGGCTTTTTAAAAATTGTACTTAAAGTGCCTGTTTTTCTCACATCTAAAGCATTTTCCTCTTTTTGTTTCACCCTGGAGGGTATCAGCTAATAAATTAACGTTATAAGAAGGGGACCTAATGTCATGGCAAGCTGGAATGTAATCTTTTAAACTCCTATGAGAAGCCCTGATAAGGCATAACACCTGTTGGCACTTAGTATTAACATTATTAAAAACCAACATTTTTAACAGCATATTCCAGACATCATCATGGGAAACAGTATTTTATAACTTGTACTGTAACTTAGCAACAAAATCAACACAGGGTTCATGAGTTCTCGTTTTATCTTCCTGAATGGGACATGAATGAGACAGCCATCTTTTCAGGCACACGAACTGGCTTCCATGCTTTGATACAAAATGCTTTTAAAAAGACTCAAAAAGGGGGCTGGAGAGATGGATCAGCACTTAAGATAGTTGTTCTTGCAGAAGACCCAGGTTTGAATCCCAGCACCTATATGCCAGCTAACAACTGCCCATAACTCCAATTCCAGGGGATCCGATGGCCTCTTCTGACCTCCGTGGGCATTGAACGATATGGGTGCACTTACCTATGTGCAGGCAATACACGTGTACACATAAAATAAAATAAATATAAATATAAATAATAAAATAAAAATAATTAAAAAAATATAAAGGCTCAGATAATCCTCCAGCCAAAGGGCCTTAGTTTCATTTTGTCCCACTGTTATTTTAAGTATCCCTGGCATCTCGGACTGTACCCTGTGTATTACTTCCTGGGTTGCTTATCTCTTCAACAAACCATGAAAGGTCTCTGCCCTGAAGTTCAGATCCCTGTTCAGACGCCATGTGTGGCCACCAGGGGGCAGCCACAGGACCTCAATGTATTATCATGGAACTGAAAAAAGACCAGGGGACTCCTGGGGTTTTATTTCTTTACTCTTATTTCTTCATCCACGCAGGAGTGCCTAAAGCATAGCCAACTCTGCTTATATTCACATACTCATTAGAATTACAGATGAATATTTATAGAATAATGGATAATAATAAAGTGACTAGAATATAGTAGTTTAGTAAAACATGAAGCAAGATAACAGTAGCACCATAGTATGCCTTGAGAGATCAAACTGTCTCCTGAGAAACTAGGGGAGTAACAGCATTCCAGAGAGAACTCCTCAGCAAGCATCATTGCGTAAACTTTCTCATGAGACAAGACTATCCAGGTATACATGTTCAAGGTTTGGCTAAATTTACCGAGCATATTTTTAAAGCAATGGGAACGCTATTTCACAGTTCCTTCACAAAAGATTCGCAGTTATAAATTAAAATGAGACCAAAAAAATTGATGATTTTCTTCAGCCATATTCAGCTTCACCTACAAGTAGTGAATGAATAAGAAATTTGTTTTTTTGTTGTTGTTTTTTTGTTTTGTTTTGTTTTGTTTTTTGCCTTTTTGAGACAGGGTCTCCTGCAGTCCCAGCTGGCCTGGAACTCACTATGGATACCAGGATGGCCTCGAACTCACAGAGATCCACCTGCCTCTGCCTCTCGAGTGCCACCATGCCCGGCTGAAATTTGTTCATTTTTAACTGATATTTTGTTGCATTAGTATAACTGATGGAGGAAAGCAGGGAAATAGGTAACCTTCTGTTTCAGTCATAACCAACGCTTGCAGTCTCACAGTTCTATGAATATGTGCACGTGCGCACACACACACACACACACACACACACACACTCCAGATGAATATAGGATTCTCATAAGTTGGATATATAATCACCTTTCATCATACAATATTCCTAAATTTTCTAACTATTGTTGAGTTGCATTCTTATGAAAAAAAAAAAGGCCAAAACACTTAGATAACAGACCAGATAGTTCTTGATGGGCCCTTGGAAATCTAAAATCCAGGTAACAGACATACTGTAAATAAACAAGACACTGCCTAAGTAATTTATAATATAGTAATTGTGGTCAAAATCTACCCTATCAATAAAAGTAAAACATCAGTGAATCTATTTTAGTAGGAAAAATAATGATAGAATATAAATTATTAATTTCCAAAACACTAATTTTACACAATATTTCTAAGAATTCTATTACCATTACTGGCTGTGTTTAGTTAAAGCAGTGAATAAAAACATTTTAGAGTTAATATGTGTAGATGTTCGCTATGATACCTACTGCAAGATAAATTTATAGTGAAAAATAAGTTCAAATTGTAGCTACTAGGAAAAAAGAAAAACAATTCATATTTTTCCTAGATGTTGAGACTCAAACTATGTGAATGAAAAAGACAATTACTGTCCTCTTAGGACTGAAGTCTATTGGAGTATAATAAAACCTGTACTAAATTAATGTCCAATCCTGAACCACATGACACTATGAAATTTAGATATAAAGAAAGAAGCTAATATTGTGTGTGTGAAATATAAACTTTGAGCATTCCATACAGCTACTAATATCACAGTATTCTTTTTTCTTTTTTTTTCTTTTTATGTGTCTGAGTGTATTACCTGCATATATATATAAGTGCATACATGTGCAATGCCCGCAGATGTCAGAAGAGGGAACTGGATTCCCCTGGAACTAGAGTTATGGATGGTTGTTAGCCACCATGGGAGTACCAGGTCCTCTGCAAGAGCAGCCAGTTCTCTTAACCACTGAGCTCTCTCTCCAGCCCCCACAGTGTTATCTTTGAAAGATCTTTCTAATTTGTTCTTCACTTATTTAGATCATTTATGACTCTAATATTTCAGAAAAGTAGAAATATTTCATATGACTATTTTAACTTTCCAGGAAAACAGATAAGAAAATAACAATCTACTTCTCTTGCAAGTGTGTAGTTATTGGGCTTCATTTACACAAGTAGAAAATTAAAAGTAGGGTATATAAAGTAAGAGCATTTTGCCAGGCATGGTGGTGCACACATTTAATCCCAGCATTCAGGAAGCAGAAGCAGGTGGCTCTCTCTGACATCCAGGCCAGTCGGGTGTACATAGTGAGTTCCAGGCCAGCCAGGGCTTCATAAGACACTGTCTCAAAAAAACAAAACCAAATCCAAACAAGAGTATCAGCTGAAATACTTCCCCATTTGTAAACTTTTCTTCCATACTCCCTCTCATCATTAAGATCAACTAACGATACACAGTTAATACCATTACAGTAAGGTGATATCGATTTTAGAGAATTGTTGGCAAGCAAGAGTTGAATGAAAATATGCCTCCCTTGAAGCCTCAAGAGATGCCAAGAGATGGAGTAATGAAGGTAATGAATGAGGTTGATATGTCCTCATTTTCTGAATGAAATAATGTTGACTCATGTCCCCTTTCTAGGGGAAGAACAAAAGCCCCACTAGGAATGTGAAAATGTTGGTCTTGAGATGAGGTGATTTGGAGAGAGGATAGCATCATTTTTACACAGGATACCTCAGGGAGGCTGTGCAACTCAAAGGCAGAAGTAGTTAGCAAGTGTTGTCTGTAAAGAATTGTATAACAAATATTGTAGGTTATGTGGCCCATAAGATCTCTGTCATACCTACTCGACTCTGCCCTCAGGAAACAAAAGCAGTTATAGATAACACATAAATTGATCCTTTTGTGGTTCATAAGTGTGATGATTGGGTGTTCACGCACATGTGTGACATTTGCCACCCTCAAACCTTGTTACACACTGGCATATTACCCGTCTGACGTGAACTTGAAAAAAAAAGATAACATAAATTAGTAGGTGTGGTTATAGTCTAACAAAATGTGTGTGTGTATGTGTGTGTGTGTGTGTGTGCATACTCATACATGTGAATGTGGGTGCACACATGTCACTGTGTATGTGTGGATGTGAGAGGATAAACTTGGGTTCATCATCTTCTCCTTCCACCTGTTTCAGACAGAATCTCTTTTGTTCTTTTACACTGAATAAACCATCTTAGTTGGGGATTCTCTTATCTCTTCCTTCCATCACTGGAATTACAGATGTTAGTCCTATGCATCAGGCTCTTAACAGGCTTCTGAGAACTCATATTCTGGTCATCAAGTAGCATGAGAATGTTGCCTACAGGCTGTAGTTTGCATACCCTTGATCTAAGAGATGTATCATATGGGGCTATGTCCAACATAGAAATCATATGGTATTTGGCAGCATAAAATTGCCTTCTTTTTCTGCTCTCCAATTGTACTGTGTGGAGAGGAGTCAACAATGTTCTTACACCTTGATAAGTAAAGTTCTATGGAACACAACAATTCTATGGAACATAAAAAGCATAAGGGATTGGGATAAAGACAACACTATGATTAGGGAATGTACATTGGGTGACAAAATGGAACCATGGAATTCAATAGATCAGCACAGTCACCAAGGATCTGCGGATCTGCAGATCTTCCTTAGACATCACTAATTCAGTGAACATTTAGGACTCATCACTCCACAGCAGAGATCAACATTGGATTCCACAGACTTTCTCTCCTGACACCACCATGAGGTCACATAATCCTTATATCACAATCCCAGAATGCATCTTTACAAAGATATGGATACTTATATTTACAGACAAGTATGCCAGTCACCACTCATCAAAGAAACTTCTTTTGTAATAGATGGAGACTATTACAGAGTTCCACAACTGGTCACATACAGAGAATAAGTGTCTATGAGATGTCCAACCTTCTGGTCACACACAGAGAATAAGTGTCTGTGAGATGCACAACCATAAGTGACACATCAGTAATGGAACCTCTACATCTAAGGCTAATGGAACAAGGGGTAGAGAAAATACTAATGCACCTCTCAGCTCTCATCAGCAAAGCTTCCTTATGCAACAGATGACCATGAACACAAAAGACCACAACTGACCAAAGTGTAAAGAATAAGAGACTGCAGTGTGTGTCCCTGGACAGGAATCCTATATTAAACCTCACCCCCCACCCCCGCATGACTCAGAGACCATTGTGCAAGAGGGGCCAGAAAGATTGTAAGAGTCAGGGTAGGAGGTAAATGACCATAAAGAAACTGAGACTTCCAGGTCTCTCCCACCTTGGCACAAAGGTGACAGCATACACAAGACCCTTGCAAACTCAGACATAAAACAACATAGAGCTGGGGAAACTTTGGAGAGGAACTATTGGCAGCCAATCACTGGTGAGTGAGGAAGAGCTGATTTTCTTTAAGGGAGTGATGTTAGACAGGCTGAACAGGCTCCAGTGAATGAACTCACACTGAAGGACATCTGGGTACACAAACTTGACTTAATAGGCCTTACCATATATGACAAAATGCATGTAGTCCTGTGGGCTATGGGGCAGGGGTACAGATGGAGAGGGTTAAATATGATTAAGATGTTTTACACGAAATCCACAAAAATTCAATAAAAATATATTTTAAAATAGCAGCTAAGGCCAAAGGAAAAACATTCTCAAAATGTTAACTTACACCACATAATAAGTTATTAAGCGAACCTCCCAAATGACTTAAATTTCTGGATTTGAACGAGATCACTGAATTATAAATTAATACACTAAGGTAGGGTAGGAGGATAGGTGACTCTGTTCTACCTCAAACAGTCAAGGCATTGAAAGAAAGATCAGATAAATTATACTTCTGTTTAAGCAGATACATACTAAAAACAGGTATTCAGCTCTTTTGCATATGATTTCATATAAGACTGTTTACTTCCAGAATATTTATTTTATGAAAAGAATTTGTTAGAAAAATGCCTGTCTTCAGTATTCTGTACCCAACCTAGATGACATGTTCGAAAAACTGCCTAACATGATATTTTAACAATGGCTTTTATTTATAAACTTAGAAATTTGTTTCCTTTCTGCTAGTACTATTTCTCCACTTCCATATTTCACATGATAAAATGCAATCATGAGAATACTAGGAAAGGCTAAAAGGGTTAATAATTTGATAAGCATGTGACTTCAATGAAAGCTAAACAATATATTGCAATGAGCCAAAATGTGAGTTTTGTGAAGCAGCTTTTCCATGTTGAGCAGCTTTGCCCTTGTTTTAGATTAGGATTCCTGCTAAGGACCCCATGCTGTCTTTTATTTTACAGGCAGGGTATATGAAAGGAAACATAATGGTTACCCATGTTATTTTAAAGCCAACTCTTCTCTAACTGTTCATGGAATTCATGTGTCAGTGTCTAAAATACCACAATTGATAAAAAATGAAGCTCCATTTTCTCAGATGACTCACAAAATATCAATGGTAGTGATAAATGAATTTGGAAATATTATACTTTGAAGCTATTTTTTTCATTACTTTTTTACTTTCAAAGAATTTTTCCTTTCTTTTAAATTTGTTTTTATTGAATTTTCATGTATTTCATACAGAACATCTCAATTTTAATCATCTTTAGTCCCCTGTCCCTATTGGCACTCTCCCACAGTGCTTGCCCCACTGGAATTCATACATTCTGTCATTTGTGTTAAGGCCTATTGTGTCAAGTTAGTGTCCCCAGACATTCCTCAGTGCAAGTTCATCTATTGAGGTCTAGTCAGCTTAGCACAGTCCCTCACATTAGGAAGATGAGAATTTCCTCACCTAGCAGTAATCAGTAGTCTACAGCCATAGCACCCTGAACGCATCCGATCTCGACTGGTCTTGGAAACTAAGCAGGGTCGGACCTGGTTAGTACTTGGATGGGAAACTTGATTTTCTTTTTCTTCAACTTTAAACCCTGAAGGTCTTAGTCCATGATATCAAAATTCCAGAAACCCCGTACCTTATTTTTTGGCTACAATAACACTTTTTCAAAGATCCCTACTATTTAATTAATAATTCTAATATGTTAACAAACCTTATTCCTAAAAACAGAGATTCTGACTCATTTTCTCAAAGCATAATATTGTGAAAAATTAAAAAACTGATCCCTGTGATTGTATGTATCTATAGTATATAAAAAGCAGTCAAATATTTAAAACCAAATAATAGCATATTAAAATTCCTAACATGTTTCATTACATAAGTCCATATTTTTCCAATAATTTCACTGTAGTCAAAATAGAGATATTAATATAGAAGCTCCCAGGTCAAAATACATATCAGGAGTATATAAAACTCAATACCGAAAGAATAAGTAACCTGATTTTTATTTGTTTTTGGTTTTGCTCTTTTTGATATGGGGTCTCCCTATAGGCCCAGGTGGCCTGGAAATTGCTATGTAGATCAAGCTGGCCTCAATCTCATGGAGATCTGTCTACTTCTGCCTCCCACGTGCTAAGATTAAAGGCATGCGGCACCATGCCCAAAAAGTTTACAGAAAAAACAGATTTTTCCTAAATAACATAAACAAGTTGTCAAGAGGCATATGAAAAAGTGCTAAGAGTTACTAATCATATGGGTATGTGTATCAAAACCACAATGAGGTATGACCCCACATCTTTTAAAATGGTTATTACCATAAAGACAAAAGATAATAAATGCTGACAAGGATTTGGAAGAAAGGAAATCCTTTTATCACACTAATGCACAGAATTAATTAACACAGCCATAATGGAAAATAGTATGGAGAGTCTTTCCAAAAATCAAAAACAGAGTTGTTATATAATCTAGTAATCTCATTTTCCATAAATATACAGAGGAAATAAACTCAGTATACCAGAGATATTGCACTTATACTTTAAAACTTATGCAAATTACACATTAAAACAATGTGACTTTAAAAGCCAAAGACCACATATAGCTATTGCAAAGACCACAGAGCACAGCTCTTCTTTGAGAAGCCCATACCCATACTTAGGTCTGTCTTATACTTTCCCTGGGTACCTCTCCTTGCATTAACCCCCGTACTTAAGGTCTATGTGGTGAAAACATCTTTTAATACACTCCAACTAGAACTAGGAAGATGACTTAGTGGGTAAAGGAAATTTCTGCCAAGCCTAATGACCTTAATTCAATTCCCAGGACCCATGTGGTGGAGGGAGAGAGCCACCTACTGCAAGTTGTCCTCTGAACTCCACATGTGCACTATGGCATACATACACACACACACACACACACACACACACACACACACACACACACACACACCTGCTTCACAGTGAATTGTCCTGAAATTATTTTCTCTAGCAAAGTCAAAAAATCAGATTTCCCTTAGCCAATGTCTCTAAAGAGGAGGTCCTCAAGCAACCTGGTGGAGTGACTCCACCCGACCACCAATGACACTAATCATGATAGCTAGTACATGACATCAACTTATATGTCCATCAACAGAAAAATGGATATAGAAATTATCACACACACACACACACAGAGGCATCTTATTTGTTCTTTCTTTTTACTTTAAAAAACATTTTACTGATACTTGAGAGTGTCATCCAATGTAATTTGATCGTATTCAGACCCTGTCCCCCTATCTCCACGCTTTCCTAGTACTCTCCTACTTCATGTCCGCTATTATTTTTAAGCCTATGGAGTCTAGTTTGTGACCTGAAATGCTGTTGGGTATGATTCCATTCCCTAGGGTCAGTCTACCTGGTGTCATACCCTTAAAGAAAATTCTCTTTCTCTCTCTTTCTTTCTCTCTCTCTCTCTCTCTCTCTCTCTCTCTCTCTCTCTCTCTCTCCTTTCATTTGCTCTTAAAAAGTCTCAAGTAGCCCACATTGACCTTGAATTTAGCTTCCTACCTGTGCCATCTCCATGCTGGGACTTTGTCTGGCTTGAGCTTGCATAAGTTTTGTGCATGCTGAC